TATTTAACCTCCATATTGAACGATATTTTCGGGAAAAAGTCAACTATAGGCACTGGGGTCCACATATTCGGTACCTATGGGTACAATTGAACAGTTTTGGTTCAATTTGAACAATTTTTGGTCATAAGGTGGCAAACTTCAAAGGCACTGTTCGTGAAAACTTTTATTCCGTTATATTAGTTGGTGTTTTATTATTGTCAAAGAATCAGATAAAACTTAAAATTGTGTTACATGGGAAGAAGTTGTTAACTAAACTTCTTACGGTACCAAAAAATACGTGTACTAACTTTCATCAAGATATCTCAATTTTTACTCACGGACGGACAGACTGACAGTCACTCGGATTGCAATTCAACTCGTCATCCTGATCATTGATATATGTATATCACTACAAGTACAAATATCTATCTCGATTAGTTTTAGTTGATACAAACAACCGTTAGGTGAACAGAACTATTATACTCTGTAGCAACATGTTGCAAGAGTAAAACAAAAAACTAAAGTTTAGGTCAGATTACTTAGTAACAAATCTGCGATATTTCCCCAACTTTCGAGCTCAGTGGAGGCTTTACTTATATAAATTAATAATAAATTTGTATGCCAACAGTTTTTCCACTTTAAACTGTTATGAATAAATAACTTTTAACGACGTTAAGGAAATGAAAAGCAATTATTAGGAGTGTCCGAAGTTGGGAAAAGTTTCATACAATTTGTCACGACTATTAATAACAATTGATATTTCACTAAGAGGAAACTTTTACACACATTCGCTGCAAGCATACCCACACTTAAACAATTCGTCAGCAAGGAGACACATTCAAAATAATGTTGAACTTTAATTTTTTTATTTTCTGCATTAAGAATATTAAAGAGAGAGAATAGAAATTGTAATGGTAACTGACAAACATTAAAATTTAATGGCAACTCATTATCGGTACGAACAAACTGCTAGTATATATCTGTGTGTAATGCGGGTATGTGTAATGCCTTAGAGTGCCACCGCCCTATTATCCTTGGTGTCGTCAGTTGCTATTTTCTACTTGCATGCACACACACAAACACACACACCAACCAACATACAGATCGTGTATTTGCCAGTATTGGGTATGTATACGGAATTGGAAAGAAATAGCCTTGCAACCAACTGCTGAGACTGTCTGCGCGATACTTTGTGCTTGTTGGGGGAATTGCTTAGCGAAGAAAATAGCGCGCTTGGGCCAAGCGGGGGAGGAAAGAAGAAAAAAGAAAACCGAAAACAAAAAGTGAAAAAATAGCAAAACAAAACAAAAAAGTGCAAACAAAAAAGTGCTGGCGAGCTAGTCGGGAGATAAGAGATGATTTAGCTAAATTGCAGATTGCTCGTTTGTAAGTGTTTAGGTGACGATGCTGGCGTATGCATCAAAGAAAATGTCGGGCTTTTGCAGCCAATCGCTGATGATTTGGCAGTTAGCTGAAGGTGAAGAGATATTTAAAATATGATGTGGTCACTTTTTAATATTTACTCAATTAAAGATGTGTTTGTCGATATTTTTAAAATGTATCTAAATGAAAATAGGTTGAGAAAACAACAGCATGAGTGGTATAAAAATAGCCAAAAATAATTTTACAGCTCATCAATTTCTTCACAAAGCTATTTATGTAAGGTTAGCACCTAGCAAAGTAAACATGTTTAAAGAAATTTGTGAAACGCTTATCAAATGCATGTCTTTTTAACTACGATTGATCGGATAAAAATCTTGGATCGCTACAGTTCTCGCATGCCCAACTATTTTCAAAATATTGTCCATCATGGACCCGGATTTTTATCCGACCACAGACTGTCTATTAGGCAGAAGTTTTCAAAATTATTGCGCGATGTTTTTTCCGCTACAACAACAACAATGAACTATAATTTTTTTAACTTTTTCAGTAATGCATTAAGTCAATCAGGGATGTTGTAGAATCGGATAGCTGTCGGAATCATAATAGAAACCGATAAAAAATATGTAGTAGGTGTCACGAATTCACCCAAATGCGTCTTTATTCAGACGACAATGTGATATAAATCTGTAAAGTAAGCATGTATACAAACATACAAGTACAATAAATGCAAGCCAAATTTCACATGCGACTCCCCTGGTGCATCAAGTGGATTACTGTGCTCTTTTAATATATTCCTTTTATTTTATTCGTTGCTTTTTTCTTCCACTAAAGTAAAAACTAAAATAGCTGAACTCATTGTAAACTTTAGTAAACTTTATTCAGTATTTTAAATTTATCAAACGCATCCAAATTTATTCATTTGCAAGTTTGGTCACATTAGTAAACAGCTGATTCGAATATTGGTTATGCACATGTTCGAAAAGAAATCAGCATTGGATTGCCATTCTGACAACTACGCAAATCTGTCTTGGATTCCACAACATCTCTGAATGTTTTATAATTTTGAATTTAAATAACTAATGAACAAAAGCATCATCCTCAGCTGCGAATTGAAAGCAAAAATGACTTGAACGACATGCGACAGAGTAATCCCAAAAATCAATTTGATCGCTGATGTTCTAATTGCTTTTTAATAGCTCGTGATACTATTGACCCTTCTGGCCACAAAAAATACATACATTGTTTGCAAGAATATTAAACTTTGGAAGACTTAATACCTATATAACAACTTTTGACTGAACTTTTTTGCAGATGAATGCAATATATAAATGCTTCCGGCGAATGGACTGTCGTTGGCACGAATTATAAGATTAAACTATAAAATTATAAATAATAATAAAAAATAAAATATTAAAGTCCGAAGCCGTACAAATTGATTCGAAAACTTCAATTTTGAATTATTATTTCGAGAATAAAATATACATATTTTGCCAAATATTAGGTAAGCTCTTTTGATTTGTCGGTAGACTCGAACGGCTTAGAAATTTTTATGATTTCTCTTCTTTATAAACATCACTCTAATATTTGTATTATTTTTGCTCTTTTTGGAAAATAGATAGATTACCAAAAAAAAAAACTTCCAAGAGGAGGACAACCACGCAAGTGCATTAATTCGATGATATCTATTTTCCCAAAAACCAAAAAAAATGTACCGATCACATTTTGCCAGGCGTTAACGAACCGATGAATTTTTTTCGATAATGAGAAATCTCGGCAATGGTCAGGGATTAGGAGGAGGTATGAGACCTCTGGTACCCTCAATTAAGATGATATAATCAAAAAGTACAAAACAAATAGGTGAAAACACACAGGCAAATATCCAGTAAGAGTATGAGCAACAACTTTTGCTAATATTTCGTTGCAATAAGTTCCAAATAGTCTCTCATAAGCACACACACTATAAAATACTGCGAGAAACAAATTTTTTTACCCTGAACACGGATTAAGATTGCCACGAAATTATTAACATCTAGAATGATGTCGGAGACCCTTTAAAGGAAGTAAATATAAATGCTCAGCATGACTAGATGTGTCGTATTAGCCGTGCCCGTCTATCTGTTCGCCTGCCTGCCTGTATGCCTGTATATATACATACTTGTATGTGCCAACTAGTCCCATAGATTCTGAGGCATCGAAATCATTTCTTCCCCAAGTAGCCTAACATATAGCAGCCATACAAACTGAATGATCTAAATCAAGGTCTTGTATGGAAAACTTTTTATTTGACAATATATGTTATCTTAACGAAATTTGGCATGGCTTATTATTCAAGACAATGCTAAAATCAACGTGCAAATTGTTGAAATAAGACCACTATAGCATATAGCTGTCATACAAACTGACCGACTTAAATCAAAACAAAGATCTTTTTATACCCCTTTATGCTACAAGAAATGCACCAGTGTAGGATACTGTAGCTTCGTTGCAGACGAAGCTTACGTTCTTCCTGTTTTTACACTAAAATGCACGCAGGTAAAACATGCAAAGGCTTCAACGCAAATGTTACCATTTTTGCTACACTTTCAGTGCCACTTTTCAGCACAGTCACACACACGAGCACACACTTAGCTGATTCGACAATTTTTGTTTTTTTTTGCGTAAGTTCTTTGAAGCATTTCGCTTTCACAGCGCCAGCAGACACACACATACACACATTTGCTATTTTGTCTGCCACGCTGCAACTGATCTGTGTGCACTGATTCGAATGCCTTGATTCTGTCTGCTGTTCCGGCAATTTCTTACACGTTCGCTGCTGTTGCGGCCGTTGCTGCTGTTGTGGATAAGCTTACATGGGCGCGCTGCTTGTGCTACAGCTTGTACATGATATGTAATAATTGTTTTTGTTTTTTTTTTTTGCTTTTACTTGTTTGTTTCAATCTTATTTCGCGCGTTTCTTTTTTCTTTGCTGCTTGTTTGGCCAAGCTTAATGCACGACAATAGCTGACGACGCACTAACACGCCCCATCTAGCTCATATGGCCCGTTTAACTGTGACGAACGGCGACGACGGCGGCGGCGAGGACGCTTAAAAGATTTCAAGGACTGCTCGCGTTTATGCTGCTGCTGCTTTCGGTTTGACTTTCGTGGTCGTTGTCGTGTTCACTTTTACTTTTCTGCTTTGTGTGTTTTTTTTTTGTTTTCAGCACGTACTCATTTATTGCAATTTACACAGTTAAAATATTTTTATTTTTTTATTTAATTTTTGGCTTAAAATTTTATATCTTCGCAGTTTTAGTAGCTATCGCGTTTGCTATTTTATTTCGCACATTTTTCGCTTATAAATTTTTTATTTGCTTGCGCTGTTGGCGTAAAGACGCATAAATTGCACGCATGCATAAATAACGAAGAGTTTAATTTATGTGTTCGTGATAAACACAAAGATGCACACATACATACACACATACACATGTATAACACACGCCAGCATGCTTGACTGTGTGTTTACTCAAAAAGCATTAATCTGCAATTAAATTTTAAAAAACAAAAAATGAGAAAGCAAAATCGTTGCCTACTTTTAGGCTTTACATTCATTTGATAGCATTTAAGAGGAATTTACTGCGATTTTCGCTGTTTGCTCACATTTAATTAACGCCTTCGATTCAAAATGCTGCTGCCAACACTGGACGCTTTCAAGATTTCAGATTTTTTTTTTGACTTTCGTAATCACACAAGCTTTTGGTGTCCATGGCAGACGCACATTTTTTGCAAACAACACAAACGAAATGGGAAATATCGAAATTAACTTTCAATAAAACTAGATTTGAGTAGAGTACTGCACAGAGCACTGTAAATAACGTTAGTTGTCACAGCGCGTTGCTTACATAATATATTTAAAAAAAATTTTTTTTGCATATTTTTTTTCAGAGCGTAAGCAAAATTTTTGGTTAACAACCGCCACGGCACAGCGCCACACACGACTAACGAACGCACGCACACTGGGCGAGTCAACGATTACGACAACGGCGCTGGCTGGCTGGCTGCTTGGCGAATACAGCTGTGGCAATGGCATTGCGAACACAAACAGCCGCAATGGGAGCAACAGTAGCAGAAGCAGCAATAGTAGCAGAGCAGACGATGATGCTACCAGCATATATACTATATGGCAGTGTGTGTATATATGTTTGTGTGTAGCTGCTTTCATTGCGATGCTGCGACGACGTGTACGCGAACGCGCGGCCGATGACGCGAACAAAGCGACAATAACAACAAGCAAATGAGTGGCAGGAGAAAAAAGAGCAATAAAAACAATAAACCGACGCGGGGACGATGAGGACAACAGCGACGACGACGACGACGACGACTACAACATTTACGAGCACGTCTAGCCACGAAGATGTGTAGAATCATTTGAGACTAGCACAAGAAAGTATGCTGCGAAAAAAGGCAATAAAGAAAGTCCACACCCAAAAATACACATACACATGCTGGCGCACATACTTACGTATGTTTGTACGACGCGTACATGTGTGTGTGTGTGCGTGTGTCTGCAGGAATTTGTCCAAACAATAAATGAACGCAAATTCAATAGTTTTAAAGATAAAAAAAAATATTTATATCTAAGAAAAAAATCAAAATCACAATAAACTCACTTTTAGTTTAGCACAACCAGCAATTACTACTTTCACTTTCTAATTATCAATCACTCTCACTTTTCACTAGAAAACCAATTGGCTAGCTTTACAAATACACTTTTGCCTTGCAACATAGCTGTCAATAACAAGTTTTGAATTCGCGCTAAAACGCTTGCAAAAGTCGTTTTCCGCGACACTAGCAAATGTTGCACCAACGCTGTGCGTTTGCGAATGACTGACTGCGCCTTCGTTTGCCTACTAACGTTGCAAGTGGCCACAGCCTATGTTCGGCTGCTGCGTCGTCAGTTGGCTACACGAGTTAACTTAACAGTCCCGCTTAGCGCTGTTACAGCATCTCTCTGCTCATCTCTGTTGCTGATGTTCGTTTATTGTTAGCAGTTCCGCTGCTAAAATCAGTTTCGTCCTGTGCCGTTGATCCACTGCGTATACGTAACTTTTGTTTCCAGCAATATTAAGCTCTGCCTCTCCGCCTTATTCGTTGTTTTCTTTTTAATTTCACTCTCGTAAATGAGTAAGTTGTGTCCTTTCACCCTGTTCGCCCTTGACATACCTCATGTTTTAGCTGCTATAGCATTGAAATATTATTCATTGTAATATTTGAGAAAATTCTTATGCACATTACAGCACAGTGTGGCGTGCTGCAGCACGGCTAGTTCAAAAAAATTTTTTAGAACAAATTTTTGAAGTGACAAGTGAAGTATAAGTATGATGTGAAAAACGTAGAAATTATAGTAATGTTTCTCAGATGCTATTATTAAACGATTATTTTTCTGATTTTACGAAAAGGCGGCTAGAATCAGGGTTGCGAATTTTTAGTTTAAAATTTCGCTTAGAAATCAGATTTATATTTTTTAATTTCAATTTCGGAAAAATGAAAATTGAAATGTTTGGATTAAAAATTTAATTTCTAACCCAGAAAACAGAATTAAAAATTGATAAAATAAAAATCGTTTGGTTGAGTAACTTTGCCAACCACTGCACTACGCGACAAATTTTAAATTCAAAAACAGTTTTATAAATAAATAATTATTTATACAATTCAGAGGTAAAAAATTTTTTCGGTTTATTTTTCATTCTGGTATTTAGGATTAAAATCTTAAAAAATAAATTTGGAATTGGAAATTTGAAAATTATTTTTAACTCAGATTTTCGAAATAACAAACAAAAAAAATGTTTAAATGATAATCTTTGTTTTTTGCTTTTTATGCATTTTTTGCAACTCTAGGGCTTTTTGACATGCACGAATTAAAACGATTTTTTTCGTGTTTTATTCGCACTACAGAAGCATTTTACTGTAACTTCAAAATAACATTTAATAAATCGAACATTTTTCTGTTAATATTGCAATTTTTTTATAAAATAATTAATACTGATTACATTCTTTTCGATACTTGTATATGTAGCTGCGATACAAACTGATTGGAAAATTATCGTCACGAAATTTGACATACATTATTGTCCGAGGCAACGCTACTATCTCAGGAACAAATTGTTCAGTTCGGACAACTATAGCATAAGCTGCGATTCAAATGGACTGAGCAAAATCAAGATAAAGGAAAAGAACCCGTGATGGGTATTAGAGCTTCGCTGCATCCGAAGTTAATTTTTGAAATTTCGCAATATGTTGCACAGAGCATAATTTGGTCTGGTTTGGTAGTTTAGTTCACCTAACGGTTGTTTGTACCACATAAAACTAACGAGTTAGATATAGGGTTATGTACAAGTATATACATATGTATATATTTAATGGTCAGGGTGACTAGGCGAGTTGAAATTCGGGGGACTGTTTGTTCGTCCGTCCGTCTGTCCATGCGTACGTATGTTCCTTGGCATCGGATCACTGCCACGCTCACAAAACGCTATTAAACGTAAACCTTAAAGTGTCATAACTAAGCACTTAATTATGATACAAAACTGTGATTTGGTACAAGGAATCGCAGTGGGGAGGGGCACTTGCGGGATTGACATTTTTTTAAAGTGAATGTGGCCCCGCTCTAAATGGTTAAATGTACATATGTTCCAAACCACTAAAACTAGATCAACCAAGCTTGCCGAGAAGAAGTCTTTTTAGGAGTGCGTGGTTACCCACTCTCCATATACACTTAAATTGAAATTCACCAAAAGTAGGATAACTCACTCAATAAAGGAGCCACAAACATTCAATTTCATATCTAGGATGACAGCAGGTGTAGTGCCGGCCTCTTTTAGGTGAATTCCTAAATCTCAGGAACTACTTAACCAATCTCAACCAAATTTGATGTATGAGGTTATTACTATTTCACACTATGGAAATTGACGGAATCGGTTGGCAACCATGCCTACTTCACATATAGCAAACTTTTAAATACCATTTGATTGTATCACTTTACAGTATAAAAATCAAATATCAATGAAGTTATTAGGGTAAAACTTTGCGCAAATAGTGTCCTCAAGGTATTTAATCTGACGGCCAAAAACTGTCGAAATCGGACTAATACACCAAGTATGTGGACATTTTTTGCAGCACATATTGATCAGTCTGTGAGTTCTAGTATTGAAATTCGAGGAGAACATTTTTGTGATAACAGTATGCCCTTGTACCGAAAATGGGTAAAATCGGGTGAATACTTTCTTTAGCCCCCAAATACCTAATATAAATATTTTTTAACTTCCGGTTGACTTTATAACGAATATATCGGTCAATATGTGATCTTAATGAAATTCCGAAAAAACCTCGCTCTAATAAAATTATTTTTATTGTGATTGTAAAAAAGCAATGTAATACTTCCAACTTTGAACTGAAATAGGTACGAAAATCTCGTATATCACTTTACCCTGCGAGAGTATAAAATATTCGGTTGCACCCGAACTTAGACCTTTCGTACTTGTTTATTTTGTTTCAAAAACATGAGTTCCTAGAACCACTATCGCCCATCGAGACGATCTCTTGAAAAAGTTGATTTCGGAGTAAATAGTCAAAGTTAGGCGTTTTTAAAGAATATCACTGGGCGAAAAAGTAAGTTTTGTATACAAAGCATATTTCGCCAAGTCTTATGTTAGATTTTCGTGTCTAACTTCCCGCAAAATGGGTTTAAAAAAAACTCTAACTTTCAGTACTAACTTAAAGATATTGAAGAATTTATGATATATAATCAGTAATACTATAAATGCCACATCTACTACATCAATAAATAGAGGGAAAGAAAATTTAATTTCGAATTTCACGCCCTTAAACCACTGTCGGCTGCAGTAAAACCTTAACATGTTTAACATGCCGAGCATCACAACTTATCAATACATAATTCAAAACTCAAAGACACACGCCCTTAGAAAAAAAGCAACACATTTCAGTTCAGCAGCAGTTAGATGTTGCGCGCCGTGTGCTCCATTTCGTAGAACACGAACGAACCAGCTGGGATTGCTCTGCGCCTGACTCCACTGATAATAGTATTTTTTTTTTTTTGGTTAATCCACAACTGTTACAAAACGGGCGTGCGGCGTTGTCACTGCTGACCTAAAAAAAAATGATGTAAAACAAATAACAACACAGAAGGTCAACAACAAAAGCAACAAATTTAACTCTCTTTCACACTCTAATGATCATTAACTCTATGTTAAGCAGCCCCGTTTTCGACAAAACCAAACCGAAGTGTTGCTAGCTTTTCTATGACATTTCCGCACTGTGTTTTCTTGCTTTATCAGTTTGTCACTTTTCTTGAACCTTATCTACTCCACAACTTCCACAAATTGCATACCTTTCTCACTTTAACTTCACACTTTAATGGCACAAGTAGTCGCCGCAAGTGTCAAATCTGACAGTTAGTACTTTCATGCTTAGCACAGCATAAACTTAAGTGCAACAACAACAACAACAAACCGACTAGCAATAGCAAATATCGTGGAGAGATAATCACAAAAGTAAATGTTGTGTAAACAAAGTTCGGTCACGGCAGCGATGAAGTGAGGCAGTGAGACAGAGGAAGAACGGAGCAGACTTGTGTGAGTGCGCCCTGTGAAAATCCTCGAATGAAGCGTAACAAAAAAAAAAAAAACAAGAAAAACGCAGAAACAAAACAAATAAATGTTCGACGAACGCTGTTTACGGAAAGTTGTTTGAGAGATTGAGTTGACGGAGGCACGACTTACTCTTCGTAAGGCTTTATTTTACAGCATCGCTTTTTTTTGTAGCTTGAGAAAAACCACGTGTTGATTTGTTTTGATTTTGCGCAGTATTGCATCTTTCGATTTAGCAGCAGTTTTAAAAACGAAGTGTTTCTACGAGGAGAAGAAAGAAATAGAGAGTGTGTCTCTGAAGTTTGTAGTTTTAGTACCACACATGCTGTTTGTACTAAATTGAGCGTCATTTATTAACACACCCATAGCTGGCGCGCAGGCGTCAACAGGCAAGCATATATTTAGGCGCTCAGCCTTCTGCCTCTCATATTTCGCACTTGTGTTAGTTACTCTGTTGTTTGTGACTCGAAATAAACAAATGCTTGGCAGTCGCAAAATGATTTTGCTGCCTTGGCGTGAGCTGCGCTGTCGACTGCACTGCTATGATGCTGCACTGCTCCCAGTACTGCCTACTGTTATTTGCCGTATGACGTAAAAGCTGCACAGCTGCTCAAACATTATTGAAAAATTGCTATTGCGGTTCGATGACTCAAGAAAGTTTGGACTTTGTAGTGTGCCATCTCTGGAATTTACATATTTTAGCAGTAAATATTTACAAAATAGATATTTATTGTTATAGTTTTTATGGTTTTATTTTTGATATACAGAAATATGGTTTTCTTTGTTCATATGCGCATAAATGAAAAACATGAATAAGTTTAAGCTTGCGTAATGAAATATGAAAAAAGTTTGCATAGCAGCTGTTGAGAGCACATAAAACTATAATAAAAATATATACACTTTAATTAAAAATAAAATCTTTTAGTGAAAAATAT